GTTGCCATACGCTATTACGGTTGACCCTCCCTAAGTACAGAGACTTCCCGGAGCTTCTTCCAGGAGCGGCATTAATCACAGTTCAGAGCACAAGGCAGAGTCCAGAGCTTCGGGTGAGTGCTCCAACTCTGGAATTACCGCACAAGCCAGAGCTGGACAAAGGCACCTCCACCCTGAAGCCTGACTAAATGAGCCTTACTGCTTTAAGAGGAGGCAGCCTAGGCTCCCGTCTGCAGGCCCCACCCCTCCTGCGGGGCAACTGAAACCTGATGTAATCCCTTTGCACTCGGGTAATTTATTGGTCTATTGGGCTTTTCTTGATGGCAAATTGCATTGTCTTTATTCCTGGGCTGGGGCTCTGGAGGGCTCACGCATTCCTAAGACTCCTTCTCTTAGTAGATCCTTCACACCCCCTTGAGCACAGCAAAATAAGTTTTATTGGGCGCCTTTGTTATGCAAACAGGGTGGTAATCAGGCTATTATTCTGAAAGGCCCGGCTTGATTAACAGTTCAAAGGAGGACTCAGAAAGCAGCTGATGCTGCCGTGGTGCAAAAATATTTCCTCTCCCTGGGTTGGTACAGCCTGTGTCCAAGCCCCCTGCTCTTTCCCAGAGGCGCTGGGTTGCTATTAAGAGGGAAAAATTAAACCCGACAGGCTCTGTGCCTGGGATTTCTCTGCCATGGCTCAGGCCCCGAAGTGCCATCTGCAGCTGGCTCACCAAGGTGTGAAATGCTACCCGCACATGTGCTGTGTGGACTGCGGGCTGGGCCCTGGGCACCGGGGTGCAATGGAAGACGCTGTGAGTGTGACACATGGGGAGCATGCGCCTTGGCGGCCCCTCCCGGAGGAGCCCCTGGACAGGTGTGAGGGTGGCAGAGGGAAACCCAGGGGTGGCTGATACGTCTCACATAACAAGCAAGGGAGGTTGGAGTTTAGCCTTGTGGCTCTAGAGTAAGTAGACACGCCAGGGAAGTCCCTGAGGCCGCAGGAGCCATTCTGGAGAGGAGGGGCCAGTCCCAGGGGATGTCCTGCTGTGGTGGCAGAGGTGGTGACCGTGTTCCCAGTGTCTGTGGTGCAGCCTGACAGAGTGGGCACTGCCTTTAGTCACAAATGGTCCCAGGGCTCTGCAGGAAGCAGGCTGCCCAGAGGAGCATGGAGCTCTGGCCCTGGTGGTGGCATCGGGAGCAGTTGGTTCGTGTGATTGCCGGGTCCCACCCTGATCCCCAGGGCCCTTCCATCCACAAGAGGTTTTGAAGCCCACCCTGTCCCTAGGCATTGCCCAGCTAACCTTTAAGCCACATCCCTTGTTTCATGGGGCTCTGGGACAAGTCAGGGGACTTCCTGTTGGTGGGTACAGGCACTGTGACTTGCGGGCCTCTGGGTTTTCCCTTTTATCCCTCAATAGCTGGTGCTGAAGTTTGGAAGCCTCAGGAGGCCCGGATCAAAACAAAATATGCAAAGAACACAATGCCTCCTAATAGGCCTTTAAGCAGCATAAAGGTCTGTGAACACCTTTGCTTTTTTCTGGGGTACCTGTGAGCTGCAGCCCCTGCCCGAGAGCAAAATGCCTAACTTCCAATCAGGTCCCCTCCCTCGAAGCACCCAGGCCATCTTGAGGACCCATGGGGCGAGAGGGGGCTGCTATCTTGTCCTCAGTGTCCAGGCAAGAGTGGCCAACTGCCGCCCGCCACCCTGAGGGACAGCGAAGTCCCCCTACCCACACCCACAGCATCATGGGAGGCTCGCTGTGCAGTCTAGTTTCCTCTTTCCCCCTGCTGGAGCTACCGGAAGACCTGCTTTCAAATCCTCCGGCCTTCCTGCCCTGCCTTTTTCCTGGGACACTAGCGTCAGAAGTCTAAAGTCTTACGCTTTTTTTAAGATGCAACATAAAAATCAGGCCCTCTTGGATCTCCTTGTCAGGTGACTTGGCAGCCCTGCCGGAGGTGGGGCCAGGTTCCAGGCTCTGGGGGCTACAGCTGGTGGGTGATAACAGAGCAGTAGATTTGGGCAGTGATATAATGGGGTCAGGGTCCCCCTCACCCATGGACCACCAGCCCCTGGCACCCTGGGTTTGGGCCGAGCTTGTCACTATCAGTGGTGTCCCTGGAGCATTGTTCTACTTCTCCATCTGCAAGAAGATGTGGGTGGCTGCTCGAGGCCCCTCAGAGTGAGCCGCTGGGGGACCTCGAGAGTCACAGATGGGTCACTGTTCAGTACCTGTGCAGTTTAATCGTATTAAGACTTACGATTTAATAGGACAAAGTTAGCAACACAGAATCTTTCACGGCCCTCCTTCCTGTGCTCTCTGGGCTTGGTTGACATGAACGCCTCTTATCCCTCTCTGCGTTCCTCTGATTTTCCTGGATCAGAGAGGTCAGAGAAGTTGCCCAAGGTCACACAGCCAGGTTTACCAGAGCTGGATTGGGCCCAGGCTGCCTGGCCCCACCACCACCTCCCAAAGTGCAGTCCCCCACATCCAGGAGACTTTCCTCTCAGGCACTGCCCCATGACATAAACTGTCACCTGCTGACGCAGAGCTTCCCCATTCTCCTCTGTCACAAAGACCCAGGATCTGTGGCTCACCCAAGGCGCAGTTGACAGACTCCCTGAAATTGTGTCTCAGTGGTTTCTGATGGCACCATCTCCCTAAGAGGAGGAGGCATTTGGGGGCACCCTGAGAACTTCTGGAGGGAAGGGGGTGACAGACAGGAAGTGAGCACCCTGTGTCTGCAGCGGGGACAGGAAGGCTGGCTCTCTTTGCCACCTCCCTTATCTCAAGGAACCAAGGGAGTGTCTCCAGCCTGGGCACCTCAGGGTGCGGGGAGACAGGACAGTGAGGCAGCCTGGTCCTCACTTCCTCTGCATTACTCAGCCAGCCGTGCTGCAATGACCGTATCACTGGCAGGAGGTGCAGACAAACACACCGCTTTTTGCTTTCTCTTGGCTCTAGAGGCTGAAGTCTGAGGTCAGGGTCCCTGCCCAGCTTGCACACTGCTGGCTTCTCCAGCTTCCTCACCCCAGCCCAGTGCCCTCCCAAAGCCCGCACCACCAAGTAGTGTCACACTGGAGGTTGCAAATCTGGGGTGGCCTTGACCCCCAGCACCTCCCCGGTCAAAGGCTGGTGGTGAGGGAAGCGGGGGGCTACAGACACCCTTGGCCATGGGGTGTGTGGCCCCCAGACAGTCTGGGCCTGTGGGGGACCTAGTGAAAGTGGGGAAGGTCTGCTGAGTGGGTGCTGGCCAGGCCTCCCGTGGGAGCAGGCAGAAGCCATCCCTGCTGTCCCAGCCCTGTCACAACTTCTAACCACTGAGCCCTTGGTTGGGTTTGGGACCCTGTTGGTTTGAGTGCCCGCCAGGTCTCAGATGTGCCACAAACACCTGGCTTAACCCCAGCTACCCTTAAAGCAAGAGCTGTGTCTTGTGCAGTTAAGGAAACAGGCAGAGACGCGTTTCCCACCCCTCAGCAGGGAAAGGAGTGGGACTTTGAGCCAGATGTCCTCCTCCAGTGCCCACAGGGGGGCCCACATCCTCCTTGTCACTGTCCCCTGCAGACCACTCAATTCTTTGCCCAGTCCTGAGCAATCTATCGGGTGGCTAAGAAATGGCACTGAGGAAATAAAGGAGCCAGGGAGCTCCTCCTGGGCCCTGGGGTGCTGCTCCCTGAGCCCCTTTCAAGTCTGGATGCCAGCAGGGCCCTTATCACCAGATGTGAGGTTGCCTGGTCATGGCCACAATGGTGGTGGGGGGGCACATTGTGTGGAGGCTGGTCCTGCCCTGCCCACCGCCGGAAGTGGCCTCTTGGAACTGGTCTGCTGGACGCAGGGCCCAGGGAGCATGACATTTCCCAGGTCTTGAGCCAAGTTGGTGGCTCTATTCCCATTAGCACTGGGTAGGGTCCCCAGCCCATTTTTCCTGGAACCTGCATAGAAATTTAGCATGCGGCCTCTGTGGGTGGTGCAGAAGGGCAGGTGCCGAAGTCCAGTCCTGGGACCCGGGAGTGCCAAAGTTTTGTTCTCAGGCATGGTCGTCCTTGCTAAGACTAAGGTCTCCAAGCTTATGAATATTTTTTTCAAAAGTAAACATGAATTAGTGCAGATCCAAGATTATATTCTGAGTAGCTTCTCTTATGTGACCAGGGCTAGCACCTTGGTAGCAGCCAGCAGCACTCACTGAGCTGGGAGATGAATCCTGAATGTTCACAGGTCTTCCCACCCCGTGGTAAGGCCCAGTATCACCCTATTTTCCAGCTGAGGATAAGGAGGCAGAGAAGTTAGGTCCTCTGTAAAAGGTCACCCCGTAGCAGAGCTGGGAATGCTCATCTAAGAATGGGGCTTCAGTCCCTGCGAAATTTCCATTGCTTTTTGCCAGAATTCTTGGAGGGAGCCATGAAATGTAAATAGGTAGACAGTGCTGTCTGCTCCCACAGAACTGGGCCGCTCCTGCTCTTCACGTTCCTTTGAGCAGCTGGTCTGTGTGCCTGGCCACTGTAGGTATCCACAGGGTGAGTGAAAGATCCAGAAGGCCAGCTGGGGCAGGACCGGCCGTTTTTGTTGTTTTGGTTTGGTTTTTTCCTGTACCTGGGATCAAACTCAGGACCTTGCACCTTGCAAGGCAAGCAGGTGCAGCGCCGGTGAGCTAAATCCCCAGCCCTTTGATAGTTTTGTTTTTGTGTTTGTGGCGCTGGGGATGGAACCCAGGGTGTCTGCATGCTAGACAAGTGCTCTACCACTCAACTACACCCCTATCCCCTTTTTATTTTTAAGACAGATCTTCCCAGGCTAACCTGAAATTTGCAGTCCTCCTGCTTCAGCCTCCCTACTGGCGGGGCTTACAGGCATGCGCCGCCGCCATCCCTGGCAAGGGAAATTTTTACCACCTGCGAACACGCAGCGTGAGTACTGCAATCTAAACTGAGGTGTGGCAGGCACCCCGGCCCACGGAGGGAACAGGGCCCGTGGTCGCCGAGCCCCAGCCCTGACAGCTGTCTGTTGCGCCCGCAGCCACCTCCCCGTGCAAGATCCTCAAGTGCAACTCTGAGTTCTGGAGCGC